TGAACGGAGCTTTCGGGAAAAGCTATGTAACCATGGTCTCCAGGGACAAAGAGGTCTGTGTTAGCTTTGGGTCGCGTGTGTCAAGCTTGCCCAGGGCTAGTATCAAATGAACCGGTTGACGTAAAAGGAAACGTGGAACCCGCTGGCACTGATCAGGAACAGAGAACTTTGCAGATCTCGGCTGGGCCAGGTATCCACTGACAGCAATCCCATGGGCTGCAGCACTGGGCTTCAAACTTCCCTTCGACCTTGAGGCCACCTCATTTCTTTACACGTCACCGTAACGTGCATTTTCAGATTTCCCAGGGGTGAAGCAAATCACAACCCAGAGATCTCAAGAACTTGTACAGGGTCACCCCATTGCCCGTGGGGGACTGTGTTAGTTCACTTGGGGTGCCGAAACAACACACACACACTAGTGATTTCAAAGAACTGAAGTTCCGTCCTCCTGTTCTAGAGACTGTCAGCACAAGATTAAGATGCTGCAGGGTGGCCTTTATCTGAGGCCTTGTAGGTCATTTCCTCCTGACCAAATTCCACTGCCCCTCACCCCATGGTATTTTCTCTGTGTACCTACACAGATCTCTATGACCTCTTTGTTTGTTTTTGGACACAGTGTAGTATATCCCAAGGTGACCTTGAATGTCTGCTTACCCATGGCCTCTTGAAGTCTCAGGATTACTGGCTGGTGCCGCCTGTTTAGCTTCTATTGTCTCCCCTTGGTTTACATTTCCTTTGGACTTCAGTGTGGGCACATCGGGATTGGGCCTAAAGGCCTTTCAACTTAATTACCACCTTAAAAGGCCATTTCTCCAAATATACTCATATTCAAAGGAGAAAGGATTAGGGTTTTATTCTACTTGATGCTGCAGTATATTTATTTGTTTACACTGCGTGAAGATGTGCCGCTGGATTGGTTTAATAGGAAGCTGCATGGCCAATAGCTAGTCAGGAGAGAACAGGTGGGACTTCTGGAGAGAGAGAGGACTCCAGATGAAGCTAGGTGCCCAAGAGACGCCAATGAGACGCGGAGGAAGACATACAGAATGAGAGGTAAAAAGCCACGTGACAGAACATAAATTAATAGGTTCAGGCTAATTTAAGTTATAAGAGCCAAGCTTTCATATTAATAAGTCTCCATGTCACAACTGGGGGACTGCCTGGCTGCCCCCCAATAAAGTCTAACAAGAAAACTTGCTACAATTTGAGACAGGGGCTCACTATATAGGTCTGGCTGGCCTCAGATTTACAAAGATCTGTCTGCCTCTGCCTTTCAAGTGCACAATTACACTGACTGGATTAGAATTTTAATGCAAGGATTTGTGAAGAGGGAACATACTTTAGGGACCCTATAAGCTTCAACCCCAGGCCTCCTGACTCAGTGCTTGTCACCTTCCAGAGTTTCAGTGATCATTTGGTCCTCAGTCTTAGGCAAAACTCACCTGTATTTCATATTACTATGAGTATTATAAGTTCGAACTTCAGGATTCTTCTAGTCTAAACTACTCCAGAAGTTCAGTGTAAATGGGCTCTGTATGTTTGTGGCTTCTTTCCAAAATGATGGACCACAGTGAACAGAATCTCACACCCAAAGATCATCTGAGAATTGGGGATTAGCTTCCCACTGAGGAAAACTACCTCCTGCAGTAGGAAAACACTCCCATCTTCCCAGGTTTGAGCTGCGGATCAGTAGGATCAACTAGACAACATGCATCCCTGTGTGGTTAGTCAGGTAGGACAGCCTCTTAGGGTGCTGGCGCCCAGGAGGGAGAGCCTACGATTACTCTGTGGTGAAATGACAGTCATGTGATTTGCTGCCATTTGGTTCCTGGCCAGGGTCACGTTTCTCTTTCCAGTTGATGTGTAGGCACAGGGATGTAGGATCATACCCCTAATATTCCCATGACCAGAAAGGACTGGGAAGCCAACATGGCTACTCCTTTAAGGGATATTCTCACTACCAGCAAGGAGACCTTGCCTTTGGGCTCATGCTATCTCCATTACAACAAGTAAAGAGGCTGGGATTCTTGGACAGCCAGACTGAGGCAGCAGCAAAGTCTAGCGCTATTGTGGGTTAACAGCTACAACCAGTGTGAGCTGACCAGATCCAGGCTCCTAACTCAGTCATGGGCTCCAAGGGGACACCAAGAAACAGGGCACGGGCACCATCTCTGCTCATACCAGTGCTCACACTACACTGGCTGATGCCCAGCAGTCTCCACAGACTCTTGGTTCCTGGAAGCTCTGCTGGGCTGCCTCACTTAGCTTCCCTGAGGACTAATGTAGAACCCAGCCATGACAAACTCAATAGCAGCCTGAGTCTCAGTAGTTTTCCCCAAGGCAATACCTGGTTCCAAGAAAGACCACAAACACCACCCAAGAACAGACCGTCCAAAGGGAATTCCTAACGTTCTAACACACACCCATCACTTTTCACCAGGACACCCCTAGACAAATGTCAGCCAATCAGGGGTGCTGAATCTTAGAAATCCCTCACCTCCACCTTTGCCACTACAAAAACCAAACTGTAATTGATGTCGGGGCTCTCTGATCACTCCAATACAATGGACACACAGAGAGACGGAGTTTGCAAGCTTGTATAAGAATAAAGGCTCTTTGCTTTTATATACTGTAAGTCCCAAATCCTGGTCTCTGGCCTCTATCTTTGGAGGCCATATCCCTGTGGCCAACGAAGCCTTGACCCCTCCCCAGAGGAGGGTCAAGATGAACCATCAAAATCTTGACCACTCCCCCAGTCTACTTAAACTGCTCCCCTGAAGGTCCCCTCATGGTCTCTTTCCTCTCCCCTTGGTGGTTGCCTTTTTGGTTTCCCGGTTCCCCCTCGGGGCCACCCGAGAGCGCAGGAATCCCATTAAACTTGGATATTTTTTAATTTGGCTTGTTGTGATTCGGTTTGATTGGGATTTTTGCATCGGCAGAGAGCTCGCGTTAGGAAAAATTCCTAATGCACACAGGACTCGGTCTCCTAGTTGGTTTTGGGGGGAACTCCATGATCTAGGCATAACACTGTCCTACATAAGACAAAAAGTGTCTTAGATAGTGTCCCCTTGCCCTCCTTTGAAAGGCTGTCCATAAGAATCATATTCAATCATTTGCAAAAGGCACCTTTTATTCAGAATAAAGGACTTTTATCCTGAGTCTGAAGTACTTCCTTAGAACAGCTGCCCACACAGGTTTGCAGTGGAATGGTCTTCACTCTGCTCTAGAAACGGTCATGCTAATTTTTATTGAAAGACTGTCCACAGGGCCAAGGCTACAGGACTCACCAGGGCTCTACACCTGCCTCCTCCTAGGCACTCTTTCCATTTCTCCTGACATTTCAAAGTTTATCAAATGAATGAATAAATAGTGGTAACTGCAAATTTACCAAAAGTAGGATGGAAATGGAATGGGAACATGAATGTACAATCTATGGAAAGGAGAGTTTGCGAGTCTAGATCTTTTAAAGAGATATCACACTGGTTTAAGGGGTTGTTTTTGTTGTTGTTCTTTTCTTTTGATTTGTTTTAGTCAAACATGGTAACTCACATTTATAATCCCTACACTCTTGGACTGAGGCAGGAGGATTGCAGAGTATCAGTTTGAAGCCAGCCCAGGCTCTAGAGTGAGATCTTGTCTAACTCTACCACACCCTCGCCCCCGCACCGCCCCCCCATCCCCGCCAGAGAGCATTCTTATTTATCCTAGTCACAGCCTCTTCTGGCTTTGAACTCACAACCCTCTTGCCTTAGTTTTCCAAGTGCTGGGAATCGCGGGTGTGCAGCACCATGGCCAGCCCACAGATTTCTTTGTTTGTGCTGAATGCAGCTGATTTGGTTGAGACTAGGAAGAACTGCCTAAGAATGTCCATGGTGGCCATTATCAGGAGTCTTCGGCAGGGAGGAGGAGCACAGTTGCTGTTTGCCTGTTAAACTCCTGAATAGGCACATGACTCTTATCTGAAACCCTGCTCTCCAAACTCAGAACCAGATGAGAGTGCCTGTCCATGTGACTGTCCATGTGACTGGCCACGTGACTGGCCAAAGCTTTCACTAGCCGAACTGCAGTCACCACCCAGAACTCAAAACAGATGCTTGTGAACATAACTTTTAGAAGACACAAATACATTAGTTTCTGCAGCCTGCATCATATACCCACATGTGCATAGACATGTAATATACTCTCTTGACATCCTCTATCCATTAATCACTGGTGCCCAGAACAAAGAACATCATCTCGTACAAAATGACTACACGATCCCTGCTTAACTGTGTATCAAGCCTAATTCTGTCTCAAGGGAGTATTAGAGGCTGTGGCATGGATCTCGAGACTCACGGTCACCACAGAAAAACCAATTCCTGAAGGACCAGCTTTCGGTCCCCAGCACAGAATGCAGCAGCTTGTTTACTGCTTAAACAGCCAACTGCACGGGCTGTAACAGGATCACCACGGGTGTGCGTCATAAAGAAAACACACAGCGACGTTGACTCAGAGTGCTTGTCATGGTATCAAATCAGAGTGAGTATTTATGGAATAATGCAAACATTTTAGCAAAGTGTCCCAAGATTCTTTGGGTACTACTCATGTAATTCCTCCTAGAACCCACAGCTTTCAACAGTATACTTTATAAGTTTTGTGTTTGTTTTTGTAATTCTCAAAGTCTAGAATTTTACTGTTGTGTGTTTAGAATAAAATCAAGATAAATGTGTGTGTGTGTGTGTGTGTGTGTGTTCATGCAAGTGTATTCGTTTGAGTGCACGTGTCTGTGCTTGTGTGGGAGGCCAGAAGAGGCTAGGCATTTGAACCTATAGTTCCAGTATCAGGGAAGCAAAGAAGGGTAGATTATGAGTTCAAGGCCAGTCTGAACTGTCTCAGGAAACCAACCAAATCATCCAACCAACCAACCAGTCAACTAACCAAACCAACCAATCAACCAACCACCACCACCACCAATGAAACAATAACATAACCTCTACCTGTGGGGTGAAGTCACCTCTTACCTGTGAACTAGTGTGTTCTTGAGGCCCCCCACCAGGCCTCGGGCAATGGTCTTCACTCTTGGGGTGAGGATGGCCTGGGAGACATGGAAGGCCCCACGTGGGGCTCGCTCACTCAGGGTGGTCTCCAAGAAGAGGATCAGTTTCTGCACACTTGTGGTATTTGCCCAGGGTGCTGGAATTTTCTTTCCTGGCCACAGGAATGGGTATTGCTTGTAGAAGGGACAGTGGTAGAAAATGAGAACCTGAAATGTTCAGAGCAGATAAAGGTCACCAACATATAAAAGCTGAATACTGGGATGGGGGTGTTGGGGAGGGAGGTGGACAAACATGCGCAGAAGTAACAGAATTGTTCACATAAACTGAAATATAAAGGAAAGTCAGTTCTCTGTGCAAGGTTTTGTGGAGCTGGATGAGAGAGTATAACCTCATGATTATGGGAAGCTAGAATGCTACAGTTTGGAGTCGAGTTGTTTAGTGCTAGCCTTGATTCTCTCAGTAGCCATTCACTGCTCACACGGGTACCAGACCTGCCATCCTTCTGACCAACGGGCTAAAACCTTGGGTCTGTATTCATAGCAGATCACCAACTTCCAAGACCAGAAAGGTCCACTGAGTGCATGTGAGACCTATAGTACCTTCTCCCACCATAACCCACCTGTTTGTGGTACCTACCAATGTTGTTTAATACATTGCCTTATGATTTTCTTTACTTCCGAGGCTAATCAAATCACACGTGACCATTTCCACAATGAACATGTTATTCCAGGCCACCTGAGTCTGTGTTCCAAGACCTTTCCAATTTGGTTCACAAACAAACTATTTCTTAGTCTCTTTGAAGTGAGAGCTGTCTTTCGCACAGGTCATATCTTTCTTTTTATTATGTATTTGCTTATTTTTACGTGGCAGAGGGATGGGGTGGTGACTTTTGGGAATTAGCTCTCACCTTCAAATAGGACCTAGGAATTTAACTTAGGTCATCCATCTTGGGGGTATGCCTTACCCACTGAGCCATCTCAATGGTCCTATTGATTATTTTTTAAAACTTGCTGTCTAATTGAATGACTTCCTTTTTGTCTGTGCATGTGGGAAAAGCACAGGCCACCTCCTCACAGTTTGTCTTGGATAAATTCACAAAACCGACAACATTATAAAGGAAACTGACATAATATGAAGGAATTATACCTACTCATATGACAAATACATCTGTAAGAAATTAATGTAGAGCCTCATGATAAATGCATCAAATTATTTTGATAGAGTCTAATAATCTCCATTAACTATGAGTTAGTGATAAGCATGAATGTATTTTAAGACAATCTGCAGAGAACCTGACATGGCTATATCACTGCGGATAACTGACAGGCAGGGCCAAGCCTGCAGAAGTAGGATATTACCGCCAGCATGTGTGACTGGTGGCCACGTGGACTCTTCAGCTCAAGGTGAGTAAAAGTGAACCTGTAGTTTTTTGTTGTTTTTGTCTGTTTGTCTTAACCAACCAGACACATGCTCATTAAATTCCATCTCATACTCCCTGGGAAGTCTCTAGATCCCGGACAGAAATCATGTGTACCAGAAATCATGTCTTCTGTGCTCATGGAATTGACACTTGGCTCTTGGAGTTTAGATAAACAGTGTGAACTCATTTGTGAGTGAATAGATTTCCAATTGTGTGCCCTGGCTGTGATGAAATTGCCCTTCCCAGGGGAAGACACCGATGCCCCACTAGCATCAGGGAAGACTTTACAGAGGCCATGAGCCTCCAGCGGGGCCACTCGAGATGGTGGTAATTTTGAAAATAATTAGCAAGCTATATCCATAGCATTAATTAGTTTCTGGGAGGCAGCTGGGGAACAGACTTGCTCTTCTGATTGTCCCAATTGTGAGTTCTGCTGTATGGCTTTCTAAAAGAGCTGCATTTTTCCCCTTTGGGGCACGGGTGAGCTCTTCCCTGAGGAATGCCCAGCTCATGTTTATGCTAGACTGTAATCTTCAGAGTAGTCCTGCAGGCACCCAGGAACAGGGATTCCATCTGCTCCTCTCACTTCCAGCTGTTCAGGTGATGATGACGGTGACTGACCTTTTGAAGGCCCCGAGGTAGGGAGTGCCAGGCAGAGGGCTGCCAGCGGGGTAATGTCTACCCTCCTGGTTCTTAATGGTTCTGAGTAAGGCTGAGCAGCATGCTGACTGTGGTGTTAATGAGGTTAATCACAGGCTCACTGTAAGCAGATTGCTGGGGAGAGCCAAAGATTTTCCTCCTGGCATTGTAACTAGCTGGTTTGGAAGGCTGACACCCACAAGGAGAGCTGCCTTGAAGAATGGGCTAGGGGCAGGAGGTGGGCAGGAGACTGGGCAGCCCTGGGACGGGCACAGCAGGTGGTACCCAAGACATCTGCCCCTGGGTGGGTGCCCTAGAGAACAGTAACAACTTTACTCTGTGGCAGAAAATGTGTTTTCAGTACAAATGACACAAAAGGGGTTTTCTGTCCTTCCCTCTTTGGGGGGTGGGGTGTGCTTCTTGGGAAGTCTGATCTGATGGTTGCTTGCTGGGATTCTCTCCTGACAGTGGGAGGCTGGCAGACCAGCCCCAAGGCTAAGGATACAGAATACAGGTGTAGGAGCATTCATGGAGCTTAAGAGCATCTCTCCCCATCCCTTTTCCCATCTCCCTTCCCAACTCGCTCCCCATTTCCTCCCTCATCTCCCGCCCCACCTCCTTCCCCATCTCTATCCCCACCTCCCTCCCCATTTCTCTCCCTACCTCCCTCCCCATCTCCCTGTGCTGTTTTTTTGGAAACCTCTCCCCTCCAGCTCAGTAGCAGTTCATGTTCAGTTTTTCTCTTGAGACTTAGATGGAAAATCTCATTTCCTTTAAGAACAGTCCTTTGGGTAACCTCTTCTCACTGCAGAGGTTGCTTTACTGGGAGCCTCTGGGATGCAGGTTCCCTGTGCGCTCTACTTTTCCACACACCAAAAACCCCTCTCTTCATACCATACGGAAAAACAGATGCTATCTTATCCTGCAATGGCATATTGATCATTTTTGTTTATTATTATCACGGATTGATAAATTATGTTTAGAACTTATTTTTATTATTGTCTGCAGGTGTGTGCCTACCATGGCACACAAGTGGACATCAGAATGGAACTTTCAGGAATTGGTTCTCTCCTTTGAATATGAGTTCCAGGGGTTGAACTTGGGTCATGAGGTTTTCATAACAAGTGTTTTTAACCCATGAACCGTGTTACTGTCCTTTTTGTTTGGGATTTTTGAGACAAGTCTTACTATTCCACTGGGAGCTTGCTACAGAGCTCCAGCTCAGAGCAATCTTCTTATCTCAGCCCAGGTGCTGAGGGTCCAGGTGTGCACCACCACGTCCAGCTTGATTGCTTTGTACTTCCCTAGAATTATGTATTTCTTCCCTTCTCATTAAGATCCCAAATACTCCGAAACTGTAGGCTAAATCCTCTAATTCTCCGTGCCCTTAAAACCTTATCTACTAAAGTATGCAGACAGAATCTGGGAGCTGGGGCATAATTACATGTGGAGTACATGAAATGGGGCAGTGGTAGAGCCCTTCCTGACATTAAATTCCAGTAATAAAACACCAAACACAGGGGAGGGTGAGCAAGACAGCTCATGTAATGAATATTTAAAGCCTGACCACAAGTGTGTCAGAGCCCAGCATGGGGCCAGTGACCGGTGGCTGTCTTTGAGTGCTCTTGTTTCCTGTTAAAAAGAGACATGACTGGAGAAACAGGGATGGGGGAGGCGCAGAATTTCAATGGCGACCTTGTCCCTTTTTCTAATATATCATTCTACTCTCTTTTCCCCATAACCTTAAGACTGTCTGTAGTGGATAATGCAGCTAAATCAGCGTGTTTGTGTGTGTGTGTGTGTGTGTGTGTGTGTGTGTATTTGTGTGCGTGCACGTGTGTACGTGTGTGTGTGTGCGTGTCATGCATATGTACTTGTTTGCAGGTGCACATGCTTGAGTGTGCACACGTGTGGAGGCTAGAGTTTGAGGTTGGGTTTCGTTCCTTGATAGCCTTTCACCTTTTTAATGTAGAGGTCAGAGGACAACATTCAGGGTTCATTTTCCTATTTCTATCTGTATGTACGTCCTGGGTTGGAAGCAAGTTCCTTTATGTGCGGGACCCTCTTTTTTTTTTTTTTTTTTTTTTTTTTTAACAGAGAGTCTCTTGGTGAATCTAAAGCTCTATTTAGCCAGACTGGCAGACTAATGACTTTCAGGAACCTACCTGTTCCTATCTGCCAACCGTCGAGTATATCTTCAGTGTACCAAATTATACAATGTTACCCGACCTCAGTTTAACCTTATCTGACCCCCACATTCAAATGCCATCCTCCTTTTCTCAATGGGAATAGTCTGGGACCCTTTGAGAACAGGTTCTTAATGAAAAGAAGTGTTTTTGTTTCACAATACCAGAAAGCAGTTGTGAAAATCAAGGCCCCTGGCAAATCCTCGGAGAGTAGCAGGAGCTTTGGGAATACTGGAGAGGAGCCAGCCAGTGAAGGAGTCCAAGCCACACCACCCACAGGGCTTCCTGGGCACGTTGCTTCACCCTCCATTCCTCAATTTTCCCATCTGTAAAATGGGGAGGGAATAAAATGGCTGTCTCTGGGTTTGGGATGAAGCTCAGTGTTTGCCTAGCAAGCACAGGCCCTGGGTTTGGACTTCAGCTTCAGGTGGGGATGGGGGTGAGGGATACAACACAGTAAATGCCTATCTCATAGTGTTGAGAAGATGACGCAAGCTAATCCAGCACATTCTGGTGTATTAACAAAACTGGGTTGGTATTCCAATAGTTCCAGGTAAGACTGGGCTGCAACATAGTGAGACTTCACGACAAATAAATAAATAAAAAAAATTAAACCCATGAGTCTGAACAGTATTAGAGATAGGTGTGGCAGGACAAATGTTTATAAACAAATGGCTGAGCTTATTTTCAACACGAAACTTCTTTGAGTTAAATGTTTCTTCTTAAAATTTCTATTTATTTATGCATGTGTGTGTGCGCCTGTGAATGTATATACATGTGAGCCTCTGTGTGTGTGTGCCTGTGAGTGTATATACATGTGAGCCTCTGTGTGTGTGCGTGTCTGTGAGTGTATATACATGTGAGCCTGTGTGTGTGCGTGAGTGTATATACTTGTGAGCCTGTGCGTGTGTCTGTGAGTGTATATACATGTGAGCCTCTCTGTGTGTGTGTGTGTGCCTGTGAGTGTATATACTTGCGAGCCTGTGCGTGTGTGTGTGAGTGTATATACATGTGAGCCTGTGCGTGTGTCTGTGAGTGTACACACATGTGAGCCTGTGCGTGTGTCTGTGAGTGTATATACATGTGAGCGTGTGCGTGTGTCTGTGAGTGTATATACATGTGAGCCTGTGCGTGTGTCTGTGAGTGTATATACATGTGAGCCTGTGTGTGTCTGTGAGTGTATATACATGTGAGCCTGTGCGTGTGTCTGTGAGTGTATATACATGTGAGCCTGTGCGTGTGTCTGTGAGTGTATATACATGTGAGCCTGTGTGTGTCTGTGAGTGTATATACTTGTGAGCCTGTGCGTGTGCCTGTGAGTGTATATACATGTGAGCCTCTGTGTGTGTGCGTGTCTGTGAGTGTATATACATGTGAGCCTGTGTGTGTGCGTGAGTGTATATACTTGTGAGCCTGTGCGTGTGTCTGTGAGTGTATATACATGTGAGCCTCTCTGTGTGTGTGTGTGTGCCTGTGAGTGTATATACATGTGAGCCTGTGCGTGTGTCTGTGAGTGTACACACATGTGAGCCTGTGCGTGTATCTGTGAGTGTATATACATGTGAGCCTGTGCGTGTATCTGTGAGTGTATATACATGTGAGCCTGTGCGTGTGCGTGAGTGCATATACTTGTGAGCCTGTGCGTGTGTCTGTGAGTGTACACACATGTGAGCGTGTGCGTGTGTCTGTGAGTGTATATACATGTGAGCCTGTGCGTGTGTCTGTGAGTGTATATACATGTGAGCCTGTGCGTGTGTCTGTGAGTGTATATACATGTGAGCCTGTGTGTGTCTGTGAGTGTATATACTTGTGAGCCTGTGCGTGTGTCTGTGAGTGTATATACATGTGAGCCTGTGCATGTGTCTGTGAATGTATATACATGTGAGCCTCTCTGCGTGTGCCTGCCTGTAAGTGTACACACATGTGAGCCGTGCATGCACACTGAGGCCAGAGCAGAACACCAGAGTCGTCCGACACTCACTCTTCACCTGTTCCTGTGAGACAGTCTCTCCCTGAACCTGAGATTCACATACTCTTGGCTGAGCTGGAAGCTCACATGCCCCAGTGACCCACCTGAGCCACCCGCTCCGGAGCTGGAGGTAAAGTCACTTGTGGGGGGACATGTTGCTCCTTATGCTGGTTTTGGGATCTGTAGCCCTTCCAAAATACTTCCTTCCCAAGTTGTTCTTAGGGCCAGGGATGGGGCTGTACCGTGGTGGAGCCGCTTGCCTAGCGTGTAGAAAGACTGAGGTCCTTCTCCAACGTTTGAAAGAAAGGGAGCAACGCTGAATGAATGTGTGCTTTTTGTTTTTCTCAGAGAAAGTTCAAATCAGTTTTTTTGAAGCTCTTGTTTGCTGCTACCACGCTCTGGGATCAGAATGGAATGCATCTGGGGCCCATCGTTTAACTGAGTGCTCCTCAGGGGTGTAGGTTTGGAATCCCATCTTTACTGGGGAACATGGATAGGATACTAAGCCCTTAGAGCAGATGGAATGATTCTCTACTGAACAACTGGCTTATTTCGCAGTTTTGTCTTGGGCTGATAATAGCCAAGCACTACAAGTAAATTTAGATGCCAATTAGAGTGCAGAGAAACTTTATTTGGCAGGTGTGGTGGTCTGAATGAGAATGCCCCCCAACAGGCTCACTGGGTCTCCAGTTGGTGGAAACATTTGTCTCAGCTCAAGAGGTTTCAGAGGGAAACAATATGAACAACTAGGCTAGAGCCCCAGTTTTGGTATTTTGGTAAAGAATGTGGCTGCTGTTTGACCTTATCCTATGCATTTTCTTGAGGCTAAACAGAAGTCAATAAAATAATTTCCTTGGCAGGGGAGATTTCAAGACAGCTTAATATTGACTCTGTCGTGTGCTTATCACGCTAATATGGTAATCATTCCTCTACAGGTCTACAGTGGAAAAGAGCAGCTGGCGCAAAGAGAAATAGAAAATATAGTTTAGAGAGGAAAAGGGGCACCAAGAAATTTACTGTTGGAGCCAAGACTTGTGCTGACAGAGATAAGAGGATTAAAGAGAGGCCTGATCTGAAGTGGAGTAAAGGGAGGGGAGCCTTCAGGGTGTGACTTCACCCAGATAAGCTTTCAACTTGTATAGAGGAAGCTTCTGCTTCGAATAGCAGCAGCAGATCAAAGCTGCTACAAATACGATTCCAGGGTGCCAAGTTGGTAGTCATACTTGGCGCTGTCATCCCCCGGGTTCTGGCTTTAGAGTCAAGAAAGATGCCAACGGAAGGGGTTAGGGAATCTTCCTCCATGTGGAAGGAGAGCCAATGACTCTGTCACCAGGTGAGGGACTCCCTGGATGGGGGCCCTGAGAGGTCAAAGCTGAGGAAGTGGAGCTGGGATTGTGGTAGAGACACAAAAGTGTTAGAGGTGCTAGAGTCACAGGATGGCTGCCAAAGAGAGCTGCATGGAGGCAGTGGAACCAGCTCAAGAGAGACAAGTATTCTGCAAGCAGCGAAGCCGGAAGGGCAGAACCATGTAGGTCCCTTGACATTGGACATGAAGCTACAGGAGTCGGTGGTTTTTTTCCCCTCCGTTTTAGCCTTGCTTTAGTTCAGTATTTCTTCACTACACCCGCCTCCTTTCCTCCCTTTAGGAATACTTCATGTAGGTTCTGTGCTGTTGCATGTTGAAAGCATGTAATTTGCCTTGTTCTTTTGATTTCACGGGGGTTATAGTTCAGACATTGCAGTGCGTCGCAGAAGAGACTTCAGACTTTTAAACAGTGTTGAGACTGTGAAAGACTATGGGGCTTTTGAATTCGGATCAGATGCATTTTGCATTATGATGTGGCTACAAGTCACCAGGGAGGACCAGGGAGGGGGAATGTGGTAGTCAAAATAAGAATGACTAATGTAGGCTCCTATTGCATTCTTGGTCCTCAGTTGCTGAAAATATTAGGGCCAGATTAGGATGTGTGGACTTGCTGGAGGAAGTGCTCACTAAAGGTTGGCTTCCAGGTTTCAGAAGATGTGTACCATTCTCAGTGCTTTCTCTCTCTGTCTCATGATTGTGGGTCAAGATGGGAGCTCTTAGCTGTTGCTTTGCTTTGCTGTCATGGACGCTAACCCTTTGGATCCATGTGATGGAGGAAGGTCATTGGCTAATAAAGGAACTGCCTTGGCCCATTTTATTGGTTAGAGGATAGGTGGGAGGAGTAAACAGAACAGAACGCTGGGAGGAAGAGGAAGTGAGCTCAGTCTCGACAGCTCTCCTCTCGGGAGCAGACACCTGAGAGAGACGCCATGCCCCGCTCCCGGGATGAAGCTCCGACCCAGGATGGACATAGGCTAGAATCTCCCCGGTAAGCGCACCTTGGGGTGCTACACACAGATGATTAGAAATGGGCTAAATTAATATGTGAGAATTAGCCTAGAAGAGAATGGGCCAAGCAGTGTTTAAATGAATACAGTTTGTGTGTTGTTATTTCGGGGCATAAGCTAAGCTAGCCGAGCAGGCGGCTGGGGTGCCAGGGACGCAGCCCCGCCGCTCTTACTACTATATCCATGAGCCAAATTAAATGCTTTCTTCCATCAGTTGCCTTGGTCATGGTGTTTTATCACAGCAATGAAAAAGTAACAAAGACATCAAACATTAATTCCACTTCTACCAGCCCCACTAAATCTCTTGTAGCTACCCCCAGAGTCCAGGTACTATTCTACACACGCTCAATACTTCCACCAATCTATTCTTCCAGCCCCTAACCCTTGAGTTGAACGATTTTGCAGGTGGCAACCTAAGGAGAGCAAAGAGTTAAGTTCTTGCTCTCAGAAGCACATCACTCCTCCGCTCTTACCTGGCACTTCTTCTCCCACAGGCTTTGCAGCGTCATGCTCTCCACACTGCAGGCTGGGCACAGCTTGCTCCCAAAGGCCTCCTGGATCCGCAGAACCAGGCATTTGTGGTGGGCCTCATCCATGGCATAGAAGTGGTTGAAATCCAGGAAGATGATCTCTTGAGGGTGCTGAGTGAGGAACGCATCAATCTCCATCAGTCCATCCCAAACCTTGATGCCAAAGAGCCCATGGATGAAGTAGATCTCCTGGTCAGTGTCCCCTGGCTTGGAGGACACACGCAGGTCAAAGTAGCGGATCCCAGCCTCCAGTTGCTCCCGGAAGGTCAGGTTCTGAGTTACAGACCATTTCTTCATTAGCTTCTTTACCAAGGAGATCCGGGCAAGGCGTTTGACAGCTTGGGTTTGGTCAGGCCCCACGGGGGACTTTTCATCTACCCAGTAACTGAATGAATCATGGGAGCCTGAATAAAGCAATAAAGGGAGAAAACCATAGTTGAGACTATTTAGCTGATAAGATGACAACAGATAAGAAACAAGAGCTCAAATACATTATAAATAAGCACTTGCAAAAACTTTCTGGCCTGCTGGGAATGAAATAAACAAAAATGAAAGTAATGCTGTCTTATTAGCAGCTCTTTAAGCCTAGGGTAATACCATAATTCTCACATATTGCTAGTGTAAGGTAAATTAATAACTTTTTAGAAAGCTCTTTAGAAATATGCTTAGAAATCAGGGCTTTAAAATATTCATTGCATTTTGATCTAGTAATTTCATTTCAGGGAAGCTACTCTGCAGGAAATAAACTCAAACCTTTGGAAGAAACAAAGATGGCAGCCAGAGGCTATGACAATAGACGTGAACAGGAGGAGGCTTAAGTGTTTCTCATAGGATGTTTGTCCCTGGTATTCATTCCGTTGAAGTGTGGAAGGGTATAGGAACATTGTGCTGAGCTCAGGAATGTTGGGGCAGGCATTTCAGTAAAGAATAATAATCATTCCCGATGCCATCATAATAAAAGTCTGGAAAGAACAGGACTAGAAGAATACGTTTCAGCACAGTTAAGGCTGTCTACAGCAACCCACAGCCACCGCTACACCAAATGGAGAGCAGCTTTTATTCTGAAGTCTTAGCTGGCCCACTGTAACTGAGAAGGAAATAAAAGGTATAGGAATATGAAAGGGAAAAGCCAAAATAACCTTATCTGCAGATGATGTCATTTTGTTCATAAAACACCCTAACGGTACTGCTAGAAAATTCTTAGACTGATAGAGTTTTTCTCAGCAGAATGGCAGTATATAATATTAACAGATAATATTAATGCCAATAACAAATATCTTGAGAGAGAAATAGGGAAACAAGAATATTTACAGTAGCCTCAAAATAAACAAGGACACAAGCACCCTTAAAGTGAACCTGATGAAAGAAATAAGGGAGCTCACACTGAAAAATATAAAACGCTGGAAAACTGAACAACAGAATGCCCTTTCATGTTCACGGATTGGCAGAATAACGAGGTGGCAGACAGCTCTCAAGTAGTGAAATGCAAATGGCCAATAAGCAGAAGAACGTTTAAGCTCACTAGCCATCGGAGAAAAGCAAGTTGGAAATACATCGCGATTCCATCGCGTTCCAGTCTGAATGACAGCCACTAAGAAAACAGCAAGAGAGGCTGGAAAAGTATAAAGACACAATAGAACCTTTGTGTGCCTTTATTGTAGCAATATTTGGTACAGCCATGATGGAAATCAGAAAGAAGTTTCTCAAAAAAACTCAAACCACATTTACCATATGACCCAACGCCACCATATTTTTTACCCAAAGGTCCTGAAGTCAACACACGACAGACACACGTCACAGTGTTCACTGCAGCACTGTACACAACCATCGTGAAGCCGATCTAGGCGCCCAACAGCAGAGGGATGGTGAGATGACATGTGGTGAACATGTCACCTTCCAGCCGTAAGGAAGAATGAACTTATGTCGTGTGCAGGAAAACAAGTCCCGCTAGCGATAGTCACAGTTAGGGAATTAAGCCAGTCTCCAAAATACATTCAGCACATTCTCTCTCGTTTGTGGTTCCTAGATTTTAATTCAACACATGAAATATGCATACAGGACATGAGAGTAGAAACAAAACTGAATTGGAGGACAAAAGAGACTAATGTGGGGAAGGCTGAGAAAGGGGGGATAAGGAGGCAGGGACTGTGTGTGCTCAGTGTATTATATATTCTTGTATGAAAATGCCTGTATAGAACGGTACTGTGAGCAATGAATGCACAACGGAGTTCACCAAAACAGAAAATCTCTAGGACCTGTCTCAAATACACAGCACATTATTGTTTTGTATAATCACCTGAAATATTTTGATGGAACTAGTAAAATAGGCTCTCCCTTCCTATTTATTTAAAATACAGTACATACAATATAAAGGAGTATATCTGTAAGCAATGTGTGCATATCTTTCACTATGCAACGCTATTATATAAAAGGAAGCTGTACTTAATCTCACACTGATTTGTGTATGACTGGAACCATAATTTTGATCTTCTATAATCTGACTTTCCTTAAAAACCTAATTGATTCTAATTTATCTTAATTTCAAAACAAAGTAACCTTAAAAGTGATTGCACTCACTAGCCCTTGTGTTTAACCAGAAGGCACCAGGACTAGGGCATAAAAAAAGAACATAAGGCCTACAAATACACAGCACGTACGCATGTGTGTGTTGGGATGGAGAAACCTGCTTATTTGTGTGCACAGAGGCCAGAACCTTGCAACAGACTCTCACTGAACCTGGAACCCAGGCTGGGGACCAGCGAGGCCTGCAATCCTCTGACCGCAGGCCCTAACTCTAGCTATGATAACCTGGTCCTTCACTACCACACCTGGGTGCTTTCATTCATACTGCGTTGTCATCAGCTCTCTATGGGACTGAATTCTAAAGCGACTGTTTCATACGTACATACGTACACACATACATGCATGTAAGAAAATAACCAGAGACAGTTGGTGACGTTATTTCCTTCTCCTGGGGATTACCCTCTACAGGCGTTATCCCAATGTCTCAGAAGTAAGAGTGAACAAAAGAAAGACAGGACAGAAATGATGCTTTATTTGTCTGTTGCATCCAGAGCATGGAAGAGATTCAGTCAAATATTAAGGAACCGTACATTTGTTAACCTTTCGATGAACCGAATTTCACAAGTGAGAAAATTCCCAGCATATTTCAGGTGAAAGAGAAGCGATTGCTAACAGGAATGTGGGGCGAGTCCCCCTGGGCCTTCTGCATTGGATCCTGTAGCTAATGAGGCCCACTGAGTTCTGCTTAATGCTCTGCTTCCTTTGGCTGTGCAGAAACAGGGAATTTTTATACCTCCTTATTGAGAGATTTATTACAAATCCCGTAGATATAATGGTGAACAGCTAGTTCTGTTTTCCTTCTAAATCGCATTAATGAGCCAGCTGTTTGGGACACAGCATCTAACAGAGTGCAAGGCACACAGTCAACTTAATTCTTGCCCGGGCACCAGGGAATAGCTGTTAGCCAAGCAGGGAGGACAGGCAAATCTCCTCTGGAGTGTGCTTGCTGGTGCTGAGCCCAGTTTTAGCTCCACAGGGAGATGTGCTAACAACCTCCAGTGTTTTGCTCAGCTGAGAACTGTGCAGAAATGTGACAGTCATGGGACCCAAGGGACCATTTCTGATTGCACAGGACACACACCATTCCCAGTCCACTCCACCGAAGAAAGAGACGCCCACCCCACAGGAGTGAGAGCCAGCAGAACAGCCAGTCTCCCTTTGACTCTTTGTCTTCGTTTCAATCTCCCAACCATCCAAACATCCAGTACTCCATCCCCCACCCCACCTGTTGTCTGCAGCGTATGGTGTTGGTGTAGACGGCCCAGTGCTTTTCAGGGACTGTCTCACCTATGTCCACAGAAGTCAAAAGCAACCATCATCCATTATGATGTATTTTCAATATTTTTGCTTTTTTTATTTATGTTCCCCCCTCCCCCCAAGAAAACTTTTGTTAACATAGAGTGGATAAAATAACGGTGAAAACAGTGTTAAGTTCTGGTATCTGGCCAGGTAAAGGGGACGGGATTAGGGGGAGGAAAGACTTTAAATCTAGTCCCAAACACCAAGTCCCTGTGACTCGATTTTTTTATTGGCAGAAGTTCCAGAGTACTTTGTAGGGAATAGGGAGGTGGGGAAATGGGGGAACTAACAAATACTTCCTGAGGGTGACATCAACAGTAGTCTTTAGAAATAAGTCATTCATTGTATGTTCAGACCACCAGGTGGCGCCTTCCACAGGAAACTGGAACCATAGAACTCACACCTGTAATCCCAGTACCCAGGAGGCAGAGGCAGGAGGATGCCACCAGTTTCATGCCACCTGGACTACATGATGCATAGCAAAATCTTTGGATAAATGAGTCCCTCCTTCATGGTCTGTCCTTCCAGGACTAATTTTAGCCTTTACAGAGAAGAGAGGTGGGGCTGGAGAGATGACTCAGTTATGAAGCGCTCTTCCTGCTCTTTTTTTTTTTTGGTTTTTCGAGACAGGGTTTCTCTGTGGTTTTGGAGCCTGTCCTGGAACTAGCTCTTGTAGACCAGGCTGGTCTCTGCTCTTTCAGAGAGTCAGAGTTCAGTTCCCAGCTCCCACATGGTGGCTCACAATTACCTGCAGCTCCAGTTCTAAGGAAGCAGACATCATCTTCTGACCTCCACGGGCTCCTGCACACACACACATACACACACACGCACACACACACACACACACACACGCACACACACACACATTCATGCAGGCTTACAGAAATATACATAAAAATAAAAATACAGAAGTCATTTTTAAAAGATGAAGATTTTTTTCTCCTAGTTCTAAAAATTTAGTTGTCTGCAATTTCTTTAGTTTTATGGTTATTTTATAATCATTTCTTCTTATTTATAACACCACATCACTTTATGTTTCATTTTCCTCTTGATGTATGTGAAACCCTGGAACATACATGTGTTGGGAGCATAGCACAGAGGTCCTTGCGCCCACAGATCTCTGAAGAAACCAGGATGTCAAGCACACAGGACTGTCTTTCCAATGGGAAAGATGAAAACCTGCTCTTCCATCCAGAAAGCTGAGAAGAGGGAGTCATAAACAGCATGGTGATCTGCGTTACCTGTCGGTCCAGGCCATACCAAGCTCTTACAGCTGAGACTGGAGGTGGCAGGTAATCTAAATGACCTGACAGCCAGACATTCCCCCCAAGCTCCCTCCCACAACAAGGACTAGATGTAACTAATAGCCCAAATGCCTTCCGTGCTATCTGTATGACCAAGACCAGGCCCTTAGGCCCTTAAGCTAGTACAGCTAGTGTATCTCCAGAACCCATCTTCTTGGAAGAAACGACATATACCCTGAGTTGAGTTTCAATGTAATTACACTTCATTGTGCGACAGG